CAACATTTTTATAGGTCTACATAAAAAATGATATATATAAATAATTATAGAAATGTAACGATTCACTCAACTCACGATTCAATTCATGATTTTGATTTCACGATTTGATTCGATTCACTTTTTTTTTTTTTACAAAATGAGATTTAAGACCAATTATAAATTTAATTCGTCCTTTTATTATTGCTTGGACAAAATACTGTACGTTTCTTTGTTAAATTGAAATATATAATAATATAGCACTTGTAAATTATTGTTCTTTTGTCGGTTTTGATTGCTTCTATTGTCCTCATTTGTTAGTCGCTTTGGATAAAAGCGTTTGCTAATTAACAACATTTAAATATAATGTAAATGTAAATAACAAAACTAAATTTTTAATTTTAAAACAAGCCCCAAATCAAATAAATAAGTAACACAAATAAAATAAATCTCTTCATATAAACAAACTAAGGCTTTGTCTGTGCTCTTTCCGTTTAAATTAGAGGCAACAACTGCATTTTAATCATGATCCAAACAAAGATGCTGCATACAAGCAACATGAGCAGTTTTTAATCTAAATTACATTGTATAGTTTCGAAATTTGAAGCAAAAACAGAATGGTTTGACTTCAGTTTTGCGAAACTATGCATAAAAAAATATCTGCATGAAACAGAAACAGCCCACGAGCTGAATGAGATGCAGATTCACTCTCTGCCAGCAGGTGGCGCTTACAGCGTTTTCTTGGTTTCTGCTGTAAACAAAGCAGCGCTGCACTTATGAACTTTAATATGAATTATATAGAGGCAAGAGGAAAAGAAAAAAATACCATCGAAAGACAGTAAGTTCCCCTCAGACATACATTCATATAAACTCCTACCTCTAAATGAATCGCGATTTGTTTAGCATCTAAACCGATTTGAATCGTCACATATTTAAATCGATTTTCAACCGGCTCGCGGTTAATCGTTACATCATTAATAACTTACTAAATACTGTTAACATATATACACAATCACCTAAAAAAATAAATAAATAAGACTCTAAATGAAGTATTAAATCCATGCAAAGCTAGCAATGGAAGCTGATAACTAAGCTGTATGCACTCATAAACATATGAATTCTACCGGTATTTCAGAAGGATCGTCTGATTCCAGCTCCCCGTCTCTCATTTCTGTAGCAGTCATGGTCACCTCGAAGCTTTCATCACCTTCTGTAACTAAAATCAGAACAAACCAGTTCATAAAATATCCCTCTTTACAGTTTAGTGCATTATATTGTCACTAAGTGCAAGTGATATTTTATATATATTATAGTATAGTATATATATATTCTAACAACTACTCAACTATAGGCATGAATTTGGGGTTAAGCTGTTTGATTGAGCAGTGGCTAACAGGGGAAAGTTTAGCAAAACGATATGAAAACATTTGGCATTATCATTTGGTATAAAAGTCACTTTAAGTATAAACGGTGCACAAAGATGTGTGATTGTGTGTTTAAACTCACTTGGCAGAGTGACAACAGAGTACTCCGTTGAGGTAGAGTCCTGAGGGTCTTCATCTTCACTGGACAACCGCAGTCGTTTGTGAACAGGTTCGGTGGTCCCGGCTGAACCCAGATCCTTCCCATCTGCATGTCCAAACCATACAAGAACATTATAGAAACAAATACAATATAATAAAGCACAATATCACGAGATGGGTCGCAGGTTGTGATCTCACCATTCTGAGGGCAGTGCAGAATTATGTTTCCATCAGTGTCCTGAGTAAATGTGACAGAACTGATGGATTCAAGGGTCACAGTGGCTGGGACATCCCCTGTGTTCATGCTCAGCCTACAGGTTAATGCACACAGAGTCAGAGAGACTCGCTTCTAATGTCCTAAAGAGAAGCCTAAACACTTGATGTGGACTATACTGGATATTCATTATACTAATGTAAAAATTCAGACGGTGTGCTTGCAACCAGTGTTGCTGAATATATTTAACCATAGACATTTAAGCAGACTTAAATAAAACACACAAATGCATGACTCGCATGAAAACATTTTATGTTCATAGAAAATCATAGTATGCACCATTCTGATTACTGCCTTGTTGTACATTTCCAGTGTGCTTATTTAATTTAAGGAGATGAGGAATAATGAGACGCCATGTTTATGTGCAACATTATGTGCCGTGAGGCCTCGACGGCATTTATTCGATGTCGGTGCGTTATTTTTCATGTGTAGAATATAAAGAAACAAGTCCAGCGCACAGAGGTGAGCGAAAGTGAAATTTAGCTTTGGTTTTGGTACTTACTTCCTGTTTTGGGTACGGGGACTTCGCAGTGACCAGGATGAAGGCAAATACCAGGATGGAGGATACGCTTTTTTTCTGCCACTCCTCATGCAGAGCGGAAGTGTCTACAGATGCCTGCCGGTGACTTCCGTTTCTGGAAGCTGTTTGAATGTTTTTGACCGAATGTTCGTTTGTCTTTTATAAGTGCACCTTTGTGTGGGTCGTCGCCTTATATGTGGACGAAACACGCTTTTTGAGTAAGGATTTATTATGTGGTAAGCACTCGCACACAACACGCTTTCACATCAATTGCAGTCTCAGCAGCGCCATCTGCTGTTAAACCTGGAGAAAATATGTTACTTGTATTAAAGGGGTCATATGATGCTATTTTAAAGATCATTATTTCAAGCACGAGTCGGAAATGCAACGCCCCTTGTAAAGCGTCAGCTTTCAAAGTAAATATCAAGACAGTTAATGTCGTTAGTTTTACCATCAGTTCAAGCCCGAAAGGGTAACAGAGTC